GTGTGTGTGTGTGTGTGTGTGTGTGTGTGTGTGTGTGTGTGTGTATATATATATATATATATATATATACACACACACACACACACACACACACACACACACACACGCGCATACATACATACATACATACATTCAAAAATATTCAACAAATGTTACATGTACCAAGAACTGTCTTTTCAATATTTTTGATGATTTGTGAGAAGATAGTGATGAAACGACATCATAGTCGATCAGAATGAATAGATGTTTTTCCTCGTGACTTTTCTGTAAGTTTTCTGTTGAAGTGCATCAAACTTGTTGATTATCGCAAGGTCATTTAAACAAATGTTGAAGAGTTAAACGTTCAGTTACTATATAGTAACTAGCATGTGTACACATGTGTATGACTGCAGTCATTGCATCTGTGTGAATTCAAAGAGATGAATTGTGCGCATGCATCCTGGGCGAGCGAGTAAGCATATCTGCCTTACTGGTCAGGGCGATATGAGAAATACCAACGTGGATATATCACATTGGACGAGATATAATCCAACATGGCAAAAGCACACAATAATGTAGACAAGATGACAGCTAGTAATCACAACTCGTTGCTTTTAAGTAATTATAGGCCCTAATACTGCACTTGTTCCGTGTTACAGGGCATTTTTTTAATATGCGCCATTCAATGACATGCATTCAAAAATTATTCTGGACTCTTGATCTGCTTTGTCTGATGGACCCCATGGAAGCTGCAGGGTTTAAATTTTCCAAAAGAGTGCTGCCAATTTTACTGGACTGCAGGAATTCATGCTTATTTTCAGCGAGTGTTTTGTTTTTGTTTTTGTTTTTTTGTTTAGTTTTAAACCACACAGATATGAACAGTAACCGCAAAAACCACAATAAAAACGTTCGTGTTCAATGAATAATGTTTTCTGCCGCTCTTGTGTTGCATCGCAGGTGTACCTAATGCTATGGCCTGTGACGCTATTTGGTTTTACGGCCTCTTAAAAGTGCTTATTGTCCTATAGGAACGACTCTTTGGTCGTGAAAAGAAAGAGGAGCACGCGTGCATGCATGCATGCATGCCCAACTGCACGGTGGAGGCCATCAAGCACACTTGGCGTTCACGGAGCGACCCAAAAAGCGCGCAATCAGCGGTCTGCGAGCTATCCCGTCCTTTCTCGTTCACATAAACAGCACTTCAAGGAAAATATACACGGCCACCTACAGCGCAGGGAAAGTGATGAGGGCTCCACATCACACTGGTTTCAATTAAAGCGACAACGAACTGCGGGCGACACTTGACGTCGACGTTGGCGCATCTGACGCAAAAAAAAAAAAAAAACTGAAGCTTTACAAACGCGCGCTCCTCCTTAAAATAAGATGGACAAATTCTTCATATCTGGACAATGAAACCTTGCGTTCTTATTTTAGTAGAGCATTTATTTGAAATGCTTAAAATAAGTAGCGTCCATTTTCCTTCAAAAGATGTAATATTGGGACATTTTGATAACCGGAGAGTTTAGATGGTATTTTTGGTCTTTCATTTGATTAACCTGGGGAAAAAAAAAATCATAATAATTGATGGTGGTAACATTCGTGTTATATCACTTTCAAAATGTCGCAATGCCTTTTGAAAGTCAGACTGGACAACAATCTACGTACAATGTTACGAGCGCTACAATATACTGTGAACTCTAAAAACATTTTTTGAAAATACAATATATTCTATAGGGAAAAAGATAAATACTTGCGGTATTTTGAAAGCATACGCTACTTTTTTAAATACATTTAATTATTATCTCTTCGAATTAGCTTTCAAGTTGTCCCAAAATGTTTTGAATGAGTCTGGCAATACTCCGACTCTGTATATAACACTTGGCAGGTTGTGGTTTTATTTTGTTCCTTTTGGTAATCAGTGTTTTAATGTCATGCTTTTTTCCTGTTATTCGTGTTATATTTGACTTATTTATTGATGGGCAGTCCTTTGGTGAACTGTAAATGTCCGTGACAAATAAATTGGATTGAATATGAGTTATTATAGGACTGTGGAACAATATATACACAACTTTATTAAAACTTAACGCACGTTTGATTTATATTTACTGCACCTCCGTTAATCATATGCTGCCTTAAGCAGCACTACGGAAGGGAATGTTGTATGCTTTTATAAATTGTCATGAGAAACATTTTAACCTTATTTGACGAAAAAAAAATTCGATTCATTTGATAAGAGTTAGAAGCATGCATTTAAAGTAGCGTGACATGATATTTGGTAAAGGTCCCTATATAAAGTCATGGCTAAACAGAAAACTAAACCCTACAGGTACTGTGAAGAAACAGCGAGTGAGTGTGTCTCTTGGTCGAATGATGAGTTCAGAAAGAAAACACACGAAGTGTTTTCAGACCGGACAGGCTGGAGGGGGCTATATTGGGTTCATTGCAGTAAATAAGGTAGACACGACAGTCAGAAAGGCCTGTCAGGGCTGTGCACTTTGCGGTCTACCTCCACCTAAGTGGCCCTGCTTTCCTGGGTATGCAAAGCTGTCCAATATTTCACGATGGGACGTCATGGAAGAAGGGAAAAAAAAACCCCGAATGAATGCTCGATGACGAACCCAATCTGCTTGCGACACCATGACGCTCTTTTCTTCGCTCTATTTACTCGAACGAATAAAACATGTTTATACGATTAAAATAAACGCTTGTTAATGTTCTTGGCACAGTTCTCGACTCTCGGGAAAATAATGAAAATTGTGCAACATAAAACCAAGTCAAGTCAAATTTACATGAAAAAAGGATTTTTAAAAATGTTGTCATGCAGCGTAAAAGCAGAATTTTGGATCCAGCTGTTTTATGTGGCATATATAGGTAGTAACAACACATTCTGCTTGTTCAAAAATAGCAGTGTATCATCCTTGTTAATGCAGAAAGTTCATTTATTGTAGACTGCATTTGAACATAACACCCATGTGCTCACTTGGTATTTCAGGAGAATTAGATATTGTTGCCTCATACTGATCTCCACACATGAACATGGCAAGAATATGAGTTGGTGTTTAAGGGGGGCAGGTCGGGGTGGGGGGGGGGTTAATGGAATGAAGTCATCAGTGGTAATTAAATGGAGGGGGCAGGGATAGGACGGGAGCGCGCATGCCCCTGCGGGGCGCGCGCTGGGTGGTCCCAATCGCTGATAAATGTGTCCCCCCCAACTCAATCTTACACCAGTGTCCGCGCAGTCGTCGGTTAAAACAATATGAACATTCATTGCGTGCGCTCGCCGTCAAAACTAACATGATATGTTCCTTTTGTCACCATCAGGCCGACAAACACATTTTTGAACATGAATCAAAGAATTCAAAAACGGCACTTGGATTATGAAAATATATGTGGAACATATCAGTCTTGCAAGATGCTGTCACATGCATCCTTTGTTTTACCCACACTGTCAATAACTCGTGTGAGGTGTAAAGAATTGACGCAATTGTGCTGTTTTTATTTTATGTGGCTATCATAATTTTATATAGGAACAGTAGGAGATTTGAGCTCACTGTGAGGGGAAAGGTTGCAGACTGCAGCTATGGAGCTCCCCAGGGAACAATAAGCAAGCCACTGTCAACAGTTTTAGCTTATAAACTGATCCGCTTGCACTATAGCCTGCTGTTGCATTAAGGTCACTCGAAAACTAAACCTCACGACAGTGCACCCTTTTAAGATTAAAAGATCGAATGAGTTCGCAAACCTGATTATGTTCTTCGTGAGGCAAATTAACTAGAATAACATTGAATCGATGTCACTTACTTTTACTTGTGGATCATTCCGACGGTCCAAGCATGTCTGCAAGGAGTCGTTCCGTGGTCTCCACCCGAAGTTCTGCGCTCACAGTGCGGCAGATCTTCGACTTCATTCCCCGGGCGTCTCCTGCGTAAATATTATGACTTACACAAACAATATTCGGCTGCATAAAAAAAAAAAAAAAAGTCCCTCGACTTCTCTGCGCAAGGCGCACCACTTCAGTGACTATTAGCTGAACGGACTGGGCTTTTTGTTGACTTTTTTTTTATATTTCAAGAAGTGAACATGTTTACATTTTGCTGTGTAAACATCCTGCAGTGCCCAACGGCCTGCTTATTTTGTATAGACATTTGGAGGCTGGTTTTGGATGTGAAGGGGCACGCTCTTTTGAAAATGCTTTTAAAGACAGTAAGCGATATATGCATGCTTTCCAACGGGCGGTACACCAATATGTATGTGGCATATACATGCTGTCTGTGTGACAGCCTGGACGAAGATTTTACTATTTTATTTGGACTGGAATACAGTTATCTATAAAAAAAATAATAATAAAAGAAACAATCTAAAGTTACAGCACACAACAATGAAAATTAAGCATGATTGGCTGTACATTAAAGTGCATGTAAGACTCTATATGGACGAGAGAATGAACATTTTTGACCAAAAAAAAAGGTATTTTTTTTAATGCAAAGTAAAAAGTGAGTGCACCCAGATGTGCACGCATGCTTACAGCCCACCACTGGAGTAGGAGGGGAACTGGGCGGGCCCCAGTTTTTCGGATGGCCAAGACATGCAGCTTCCAACCCGCTGATGGCAACAGATAAGTAAAAAAGGCAGCAGGACAACACGTAGCAAGTGAAGTGGAAAGCAGCTCCTGTTGTACTCCTTATCCCACTCTGGAAAACTTTTGGACGAGTCAGTCTTTCAGGAACCTCCCCGCACTGAGAAGCAGTTCTCTCTCTTTTTTTTTTTTTTTGTTTTTTTTTTTGCTCGCTTTTTGCCGGTGAGTTGACGTCGTCTCGAGTAGAAGGTGTGGAGGTGGAAGACATTTAGTCTTCTTCTACCCAGCGCGCCTTTAAGTCTAACTAATGACGGCAGAAGTCCAGCAGCCCCAAGCGCACACTCCTGCCCAGAGCGGCCCCATGTCTGCTCCGGACAAGACCGCGGTGATGGACACCGCTACCTCCTCCACCGCCAAAGCCAAGAAGACCAACGCGGGAATCCGCCGGCCGGAGAAACCTCCTTACTCTTACATCGCCCTCATCGTCATGGCCATCCAGAGCTCCCCTACCAAGCGGCTTACCCTCAGCGAGATCTACCAGTTCCTGCAGAGCCGCTTCCCCTTCTTCAGGGGCTCCTACCAGGGCTGGAAGAACTCGGTGCGCCACAATTTGTCCCTCAACGAGTGCTTCATCAAGCTGCCCAAGGGTCTGGGCCGGCCGGGGAAGGGTCACTACTGGACTATCGACCCGGCGAGTGAGTTCATGTTCGAGGAAGGCTCGTTCAGGAGGAGACCCAGAGGCTTCCGGCGCAAGTGCCAAGCGCTCAAGCCTATGTACAGCATGATGAACGGCTTGGGCTTCAACCACATCCCAGAGTCGTACAACTTCCAGGGGAGCGGCGGGGGGCTGTCGTGTCCGCCCAACAGCTTGTCCCTGGACAGCGGGATCGGGATGATGAACGGACACCTGGCGGGGAACATGGACGGCATGGCTCTGTCCGGCCATTCTATGACGCACTTGTCGGCCAACGGCGGCCACTCGTACATGGGGAGCTGCGCGGCAAACACCGCCGAGGGGGGCTACCCCCACCACGACAACTCCGCCTCGCCTCTGCTCACTAGCGGCGGCGTGATGGAGCCGCACCCGGTCTACTCCAGCCCGGCGTCGGCGTGGGCTCCGAGTCCCAATAACGGAGCTTCTTACATCAAGCAGCAGCCGCTGTCTCCTTGCAACCCCGGAGCCAACCCGCTGCAGCCCAGCCTTCCCACGCACTCGCTGGAGCAGCCTTACCTGCACCAGAACGGCCACACAGCCTCGGACTTGCAAGGTAGGCTTCCATCCAGAAAAAGACCACAATAACAACAATAACGCTCTGGTTTACATTGAAGCAGATCGCGTGGAAAAATGAAAACAAAGACCAGCCACATAATTATTAGTTTTTGGCCAAGTTGAAGTGCTTCCCTGACCTCGTGCCAAACGCGCGGGCCTTTAGGTTCAGTGGAAATGTTGGCTGTACTGCGTTCCATTGGTGGCAAAAACTTATTTAGAAAAATGATTTAACTCTGGAAGTACAAGCAGTTTAAATTGTCACGAGAAAGCTCATAATTCGTGATGATAAAAACAAACAAACAAAATCATGGTAAACTCGGGCTGCCTTGTCTCGGAGCAATGCTAATCAACGCTCCATCTTTTTTACCCTCTAGAAATATCCATGGGCCTATTAAAAACATCATTATGCACCTTATAATAATTATTTGAGTGAAATATCGTTACACTTTGGGAAATGCATGTGTGTATGTTTCCTATGGAAAAGTTGGTCAATACCAAGTAAGTCTCTTTTATTTTGACCAACTAATAAAAAAAAAAAAACGCACGATAGGCGACAACAGGGGACGTGTGTTATCGCTTAGATAATTACTAGAGACTCACGTCATTCTATATTGGGGAAATGAAACGCAGGTATTGTCTCTCTCTCCTTCAATTCCTTCAATTAAATTACAATTCACTTTTATTTATTTGTGAGTAATCAACTCTATATTAATTTATTGTATTTACGACCAAAACTTGGGGTGGGTGGGGGTTGTTAGTACTAAGGGGTCTAAATAAAAGTGTAGGCCAATTGCAAGCCGTAAACGTGTACGTGTGTGTGTGTTCAGGCATCCCTCGGTACCATTCGCAGTCCCCCAGCATGTGTGACCGGAAGGAGTTCGTCTTCTCCTTCAACGCCATGACGTCGTCGGCCATGCACTCACCTAGCAGCGGCTCCTACTACCACCACCAGCAGGTCTCCTACCAGGACATCAAACCGTGCGTGATGTGATGATGCGGGTTCGGTTCGATTCAGCTGAAACGAAAAGGAAAAGAAAACCACTGAGGGGACGTGAAGGACTCTCAAAGACAAGCCGGACTACTTTTTTCTCCCCTCTCCCGCCTCACGCAAGAGCGACCATCTGTAGTGATGATGATGATGATGATGATAATAATAATATATAATAATACAAACTTTTACGTGCCGTCATCATGGAGCAGCGGGGTGAAAGTCTGCTGACGTTTGGTACTAAGTCCTGCAGCGCGGATGACTACAACTTCACATTTCTGTCGAGCTTTATTCTTCTCATTGTAAAAAAAAATGCACACTTCTCTTTTCTGCGTTCTCTCTCTTTTATGGCATATAACACTCATTTGGAATTCCAGTGACATGAACAATTGTGGACATTGTATTGACGTGTCCATGTATAAAAAATGATTAAGGCACTTTTTGAATAGCCTGTAAGCGCAACTTTTTTATTTATTCTGAAGGCCTGCATATTTTTAATTTCAGGCGAATTGGCCAAGGAGTTGTGATGCTTTATTGGCAATATTTGTCAGAACGCTTATTTGTTTTTAAATGAAAATGAGGATATATTGTAAGCACCGTTTCTGTCGTTAGGATATGTAGATCATGAATTAATACCAGCACTGTATACTGTTCTATATTGTTGAATAATTTAGCGAGGGTCATCTTTATTACAGTCTGTAAGGAAATAAAATATTTGTTGGGGCTGTTGATGCCTAAATTCTCAAGAGGGATACATTTGGAGTTTGTTTAAAATCCAAGACAGGTTAAGAAATTGAAATTCGATTTGATCGACAATTGTCACGGGATTTAACTTTTCGGTTTATAACATGATTTTAACAGAAAAGCAAATTAATTCGAAATGTCACATTGGACCTTAAATCAATGTCAGTCGAATTTATTGAAGGGGGCAAGAAAAACTGTCAGATATAATTTCAATTTAAACCCTCAAAATGCAATCTCAATGTAAAAAAAGCTTTAAATTATATTGCCATGTGAACTACAATTACTGAGACACATATTCTATGGCGACATGGATGCTAAGAGCCCTGTTTAAATCATAATGTATTGTAAAAATAATTATAATAACACTACCATATTTGATTAGGTACAGTTAAAAAAAACATGCGTTTTACATGAAACCCATTCACAAACACATTAAGAAAGCTCGGTTCATTGTATGGTAAAACGGACCGATACTCGTTTCACCACACACGCATATAATCAAATTCTAAATCTGCATCAAAAAGTATTCTCTTAATTGATAACAAATATTCAATTTTTTTGGGGACTGATAATCTCGGAAATGGCTTGAATTAAAATACTTCGTGATAGTGGTTTACAGTGTGCAATGTTTCTAATATTTTGTCTCGGTTATTTGACAAAACGGGGAAACCAAAATAGAAAACATGAGTGTAGTTTTGTTCAACGGTAATCTCCAACCACGTTTTCAAACGTCCCGACAGTGTCAATCAAAACGGAACAATGAACTCATAAAATACTTTTTTTTTACTTTGTAGGAATTTATGTATCTCGTCCAATTTGTAGATGACGTGGCCCCACAAAAACGAGGTGATTCCAAATTGCAAGCTGACCTGAAAAACAACACCCGACTGTTTTAATTGGCGGGGATTAAGCCACGGTTTAAAATGCATTTCTTTCATATTAAGATAACTTTTTTTTAAACAAAATAGCAGGTGCCGCGCGATAGAAAAGAGAGATTCAATGTGCAATTCTATATAAAAGGGCAAAACAGTCGAAATAATTTACATCGAGTACGTTCATGCTCACTTTAGTGTGCAGCTAGCCAATCAGTGCTAGTCACCGTACATGCACATCGCACCCTGAACTATAAAAGCAGTGCACCTAAACACATGGCTATACATTATGGAGCACACATGGCCGAGCAGCAGTGGAATCTCTCATTGAAACTGATGACACTGGCCGAGGTGTGGCACGGCAACGGGAGTGAGATGACTAACCACAGCTGCTCCCTCGACCTGCAGGCCCTGCATGCCAGTTCCATAAAAAGCCCGAAGAAGGCTGCCGGGTGCAGACTGACATGACTTGCTGGGTGTGTGCGTGTGGAGCACTGTACACAATGAAGGCAGAAAGCAGGTACAATTTGTCCAGGAACATGGAGGTGACGTGATCGTGTGATGAAGGGCAGATGTGGCATGCGTGTTAAAATTGTTGTACTACTGACCTCTCAGCTGTTTGCAATTCAACGCAGCAAGGAAATAGGACTACAAATGAAAACTACAAGTTGCTCAAACAGCAAATTTTACTTTTCAATGTAACATTCGTTTATTTGAAGGCGTTGCATTGTAACCAAGTAAAGCTTTCACATCAAGAAAACTCAGTAAGTTTTGGCTGCCAAGGCCTTTTATATAAGGACTACCTGTACTTGTCAAAATATGACAGATATTAAAAAAAGAAAGAAAAAGGAACAAAGGATATCTGGTCTCCACAAAATCCTAGCGTTACATTCCATTGGGAAAAGGTGATCTAATTCATCCAAGTGAAGGCTAGCATTCTGATAGACATGACAGAAAAAGTCAGTGTTAACCAACTATTTGTGGTTCAATTTATTGGATGAATTATGAACTCTGGGTAATAGTCAATTATGTTTAAATAAATCACTCACGGCAGGATGCGCTGTGGTCAACTTATCCATTTTGGTGCGTTAATGTGGGGTATACAAACTCAACTCTCAACTTTCTCAGTCTTCCTTGCAATCTCATTTCATTTGAATTGGATTTGTACCTTGCACATACTGTAAACAGTACTGCATTTATCCATTCAATAAATGTGACAATTTTAATAATGACACACTAGTAGGCATGCTGCTAAATCTGATCAAAATAAATAAAAAGGGTTGTATTTTTGCAGTGATGTACAGAGCATATATGACAGAGTGGTTTTGTGAAGAGTAAATTAGAACCAAAAAGGTTGTGAATATTTTCAATATTAAATTAATGATGAAAATTAATTCTGTTCTCAATCCAAATTGAGCATGTTTATCTTTGTAAAGGCTGATTTGAGGCTGGCCAATCGTGCCAATGTCAGTCAAGAGAAAAACAGTGAAGAGAAGCGCTGAATTCGTAGTTTGGCCACCTGGTGGTGCTGTTTGCAACTGTTCGGCAATTGTGTAGGTAGAAATTGTGAGGCGGCCAAGACAGCCACTAGCTTTTTCTGTGCATTTGAATCATTTCGCTTCAAAAAAGGAAAAAACAGAGAGAGAGAGAGAGAGAGAGAGAGAGAGAGAGAGAGAGAGAGAGAGAGAGAGAGAGAGAGAGAGAGAGAGAATCTTCACGTTTAGATGTGCTTTTGTTGCATATTTTATTTAGATATTGCTTAATATAAAATTGTGACTCAACTGTAATCAACCCTGAACGATAAAGTCAAACCAAAAGCGTTATAAGGCATTCCAAGGTTAGTGCAATTACTCTTCTGACTACTCAGTTTGCTCATGGGCTTCATTTTTGGAATCCACCTCTTCTTTGTCAGACGCCGGAGCCGCTGCTGGTCTCGCTTTCCGATTGGACTGGCCGGGCCTCTTGCTGCGCCGTTGGCTCTTGGCCAGCTCGGCCTGCACACTGTGACCATTCAGGCTGAGCCCCTGCAGAGCCTCCAAAGCCTTCTCGGCAGCCTCTGGGTTGCTGTAGTCCAAGAAGGCGCGGTGCTGAGCTCCCTGCCAGGTGAGCCGCAACGGCGCTGCCTCTCTCTCCCGCAGGGATGTCTTCAGCTCGCTAACGCGCAGCCCCGTGGGGATCCCACCCAGATACACTGTGGTCACACCGGGAGGGATCTTACTGTGGGTCAGAACTTCACCTCCAGTCTCTTCTGGACTCTTCTCCTTCAGATTCCTTCCACTTCGTCCCTTCTTTCTCCTCTTTTCGACACCCTCTCCCTCACTTCCTCTACTTTCTTTCCTTACGCGAGCAGGACGCTGTCCGGCGTTTGCTTGTGGCTCGACACGTTGGTCCTCCTTGGACTCTTCTTGGACATCCTGACGGGCTGCTTTCTGCCTCGGCCTGCGCCTGCTTTGCTTTTTGGGGGGACCGGTTTGCGAAAGAGGCTCAGCTAGGGGAGGCCCCGCTCCCAGTGTGACGTCCTTCCCCGCCTGTTCCTCCAGAGCCAGGAGCTTCTTCAGGATGGGGATCTTCTGCAGCTTTTCTGTGTCCAGCTGAGGACATAAAACTGGCCAATCTCAGTCAAACTGAAAGAGGGTGCGAACATTATTGTACATGCAACATTATGAATCAGTGGTTCTCAGACTTTTTATACCAAGTACCGCCTACAAAAATGCTTCTGTACCACTATCATTCATTACCAACATTAAAATAAAGACATGTAGTAAGCCTAAGTATTCCAAAATGAGACGTTTTATTCCTAAAAACTACACATAATGAATTCTATGTCACTATAACTTTACGAGGCGTTTAAACATTAAAACTGTGTTTAAACATCGGAAATTTTTTTAAAAAGGTGTAATTAATAATTCCAATAAATTTTACTGCACATCAGTTAAAAATTGTAAGAAAATATTTTTTTAAAACTGTTCTAAAAAGTTAAATTGCAAACGTATTCTTCTTCTCCTTTCGGCACGTCCCTATTCAGGGGTCGCCACAGCGAGTCAGTAATTTCCATCCGCCCCTGTAAACCGTCCTACCAACTCGCATGGTCGTCTTGGCAAAAGTTTTACGCCGGATGCCATTCCTGACGCAACCCTCCCCAATTCCCCGGGCTTGGGACCGGCACTGGGGAACAGTGCACCCCCAGGGGAGGGCACTGCCCCCCAGCGGCTGGGTTTTAAATTGCAAACGTATTAAACTTTGAAAAATATAATGCAACTGTACTCTGGCAGGGATTAATTTGCATATCACTAAAGGGAGCTGGCATACCATTAGTTTGAGAATTGAACCATTTGAGCCAAAGCAGCACGTCAGCAAGTTCATGAAATGAAAGAAAAGTGACCAATTAATGCCTGCCATTTCATCTGGTTTATGATAAGAATTACGCCCACAGAGCTGCAAACCCACAGTATAGAGATATTTACTTCCTGAAGAGTTTCTGTAATTTTCTTGCTATATTTTAAAAGCTGTTTCAGGAACATTACAGCCGGACTGTTTGCGGAGCATACATATATAAATATTTTAGATGTTTACATGTCTATCGCACCAAATTATTCTTATAATTGCATTAGTGGCTATGACTGTGTACTAATGTCACTAAAATCAAGGCACGGTAATTGCATAAATTAAAAATAATTGTTCAAAGAATAAACTAATCACAAAATAATTAAAATATTTACTGAACAGCGACATCTAACAATGCACATCGCTCACACATACACAAACACTTTTTTTTTGTTTTTTAAACAAAGGCAACATTTTGCAAACTTTTTAGTGCGACTAGCTATTTTGATTGAGACATGTTTTCAAGGACCAAAATAAAGACAAATGCTTCTAAATATCACTCACCATTAGCTAGGCCTCAATGAGCCATGGGCCATTTGGCATATTCCAACAAGTATCATGACGTTAGCTTTCGCCTCATGTTGAATTAGTCTGCTAGCCTGCGCTGCCCATGAGTGAGCAGCGATGCACTACGTCACCGGAGCCACCGGCAGAAGAACGTCACATTTGTGGTGTGTTATCAAACACGCAACATACAATTAAGTACTCTTGTTTGTTTTGAACCTGTTTGTGCAATGTTACCAACCACCCCACCCCCCAACAACATTGAACGTTATGGGCTTAACGAGGTCGCATTCAGTGATATCTGTAACAAAATACAGACAATCCGTAACAGTTAGCGGGTCTGCGTCTGTTTATAGGAGCAGGACATCTCACTTCCCAAGCAGTTAAAAATAAGACGGCCGTCTTGATTTGTTGCATCTTAGGCGTGTGTTTGGCGGCCTTTGATGCTGACCAGTCCAGACAAGAATCTACGAGGCTATTGTTTTTACAGTGGCCTGTTTGACCTGACAACATCCTCGACCCCCAGCAGCCCCTGCCGAGCCGGCGCAGACAACGCTTTGATGATCACACGTGGCCTTCCTGCCAGTGAGGTCGGCGGGTTCTGTTTACTTCCAAATATCTTGAGGAGCCCAGAGGTTTGCACACAAAATGTTTTAGACAAATGCCGTTATCATATCTGACGTGAGACAAACTATCAAAGGCCAAATCAGCTGCCATACCTCCGAAATGTTCATGGACAACTAAGTCCAAAGTGTGTACTGTGCAACATGGATGGGCAATTTGTAGGAGGGAGAGGGCCACAAATTTTCATCAGCGCACAGGTCCGCGCACTTCCAGACCAGATTTGTGACAAAAAATAAAATTATTTTAAATATGGACAAAATACATGCAAAACACATACTTAAATTCAGATTCCAGGACGGCATAAAACTGCTGAATAGCAAACCAACATTAAGTGCAAGACATCATTTTGTGCATTTTTTTCCCACGGAAACTTACTAAATTGTGAACCCTGTAGGGGACACCACAAAAAGCTGTTCCTTGGAGAACAAAAATGGACCCCAACAGTACATTTTCTTCTGACAATGCACATGTTCAAAATATTGAGACACACCACCAACATCTATGAATCTATGCTGAGATGAATTTTTCCCTCACTCCATCATCCGCCTTTCGAATGAACACCATTTGATATTGTGACCAAGAGCCTCTCCTAAGTCCAAAATCAGTGACCTCTGAACTAACAAAGGGTCTTCCAGATCAATGGACACATTCCTACAAGCACACTTCAACATTTTGCTCAAACTCTTACCAATTAATATCTTATAAACTGTTAGAATTGCAGATAACACACGTTTCTTGTGTTGTTATTTTTTTTATGTATTATTTTTGGCAAGATGCAGAGAGACAATAAACCTGCTAGAGGGCAGCGGTGATCAGTTACCGTAGGTGACTAAATGAGCCTCAGGAAAAACTGCTTCTGAAGCTAGATTGAGAACACAATATTGAATAATAACCGCCTTAAAATTGAATTGCTTAATCTCTGATAAATGTTGCTTCATAAAGTTTCATCTTAACCTCTGATGGGGAGTTTTCCTCATCCTTTCGGTTTAGCATCCTAATTACAAAAGTCTGTAACGTTTATACATTTTTATGGATGTTTAACTTTAATATTGCAAAAGTGTGCAACTTGTACAAATTGGCACTGAAGCTGAGATTTGAGACAAATTTTCACTTTACCTTAGTCCAAATGATTCCTTGTGGCTTCGGAGAGGGGCAGTCGGTCTTAATGACTCTGCTTGGTGTGAGTATGTAGTCCACTGTCAAGTCGTGTCTTTCCATGAGCTCTTCTGGAATATCCACCACCTCAAGAACCAGATCCACTGAGATAAGTATTCATTCACAGTTGATGCTATTTTCTAAGTTTACAAATTAAATTACTGTATTTCCCGCACTATACGGCGCTACGGAGTATAAGGCGCACCTTCAATGAATGGCCGATTTTAAAACTATTTTCATAAAAAGGGCGCATCCCATTATAAGGCCCATAGAATAGAAGCTCCAATACTGACTGCGGTTGCGTTTTGCATCCGCTAGATGGAGGCACCCTAAAAGGAATACAATACAATACAGCTTTATTTATTTAGAGCCTTCACATACGCTGCAGCTGTAACAAAGCACTTTCCAGAACATTTAAAATGCCACATCCAAGAAATCCGAATATTGATCCATACATATAAGGCACATCGGATTATAAGGCGCACTGTCGACTTTTGAGCAAATCGAATGCTTTTAGGTGCGCCTTATAGTACAGAAAATACGGTATCAAATCATTTTAAAGAAGCCAGGAAGCATTACGTTAAACATGTCAATCCAATTCAACAAAAAGGAGTGAAAGCATTTTACTTGTATGACATTGAGCCATAAGATTCGGTACACCGACAGTTTCTAACTTGTAGCTTGTGATTATGGTAACTCTATAACGAGATAAAAATTGAGCTCCACTGAAACATTTCCATAGTTATTTCAAAGATGAAAGAAACTCACTTGACAGTCGTGGACAACTGTGACCACTACAGTGGATTCGTCCACAGCTCCCATTGAGGCCATCATTGCATACTCCAAGTCAGCAAAGCCCTCTCCTTTTCCGATACGGAAACCTGGAAGAGGCAGATGAAGACTTTAAAGGCTATTTTGCGCGATGGGACAGAGACACACGGCCAAATTACTCCAACAGCCTACGCTTTAGGGCCAGCCTCACTGCTGGAGTACAAAACAACGCTGGTATCACTCCAAAAAGGAGCTAAGTGTAACAGGACAGCTTTCAAGCATTAGTTATACCTTATCTGCTTTCTGTATCTGCTTAGAACAACAACAAAAGGTATTCATGTTTAAGAGAATTCCCACATTATACTGACATTTATTTTATTTGATAAGAGATTTATTGCGGCAAAAAAGCGAATGCAGAAGCTTAAAGAGGAAGCACAAGGCCCAGCAATAGTTTAAGCTAACATTATCATGTTTGTTTTTTATCATTTCTTGTTGGATATTGCCACCAGTGAGCAGACAGCAGTAGTTAATGTCACCAACACAGCAAGAGCTCATCATTCTGACAACTTCGGCTGAGTGGGTAGCATTAAAATATATATATAGTGGATACTAAAGATACAAGCTGTCTTAAGTTTACTTAGCTTAATGCTAACAAATGATTGAGTCACGCACATGATCACAAATGAAACTCCTATTTGTTGTCTGTAGACATTAACATACAACTAAAATGACAATGACTAGAAAACTCAACTTCCAAATTTTTAACGGAAAATTTTTGAAGAAGAGGAAAAAAAACAGCTACCGGTAATCGTATCAGAATTACTTAACAAGGTGAGGCTGTAAGGCAGTTAGAATAATGAAAATATCTTGGAATAAATTGCAGTCCACTGGGGCCTCAGCTAACGTGCATGCAACTAACTATTGCTTCAATGAAAACCATGTGGCTTTCTCCACGTCGAGCCATTTGGGATTTGTGTGCATTATTACAAACGTCTGTTTCGTCAAAGTTACCGTATATCAGTCTGCTTAACCCAAAGAGCAAAACAATGTACCGCAAGAAAGCATGCAGAAGCCACGAGGAGCTAACTTCATCTGATCAAACAATTTTGCATCAACTCTTACGTCTGTTCTTACTCAAATGTCTTTGTCTTTAGTTGGCGCTCCAGTGTACAGTGACGATGCCGTGGCCACATGATTGCTATAAATTAAAAAGCTAATATTTCTCCTTAACTCCATTGAAACGTTTCATTTGGGGTTTCCCCATTGCAAAGGTATCAAGATACAACTTGGAGCAAATCACGTCAACAGTGAGTTGAGCGCACTGAGTAAGGCATCGGAATGCCAAACATTTCATTTGAGAGTCAAGCTTTCAGTTACATGTTTAGTGCACACCTACTAAAAATGTGATACTTCCCGAGAATTATGCTTGCTTCTTTTGCAGAGCAATTAGGAAAAAAACAAACAAACAAATAGTTCCTCACCTTTCTCTGACACGGCCACAGAGCCAACAACCACGAGGTCAACCTTGACTTTGGCATCCAGATCGATTGGCACGCTGAACTCTTTCACGCCCTGCAGTTGGGAAACACTTGGGTTCAGTGTTGGCGTGATGGAGCGATAATGAGGTAAATTGCGTGAAAATGTAACATCGGAGACTCAAACCTGAGAGGAAGAGCATATACGCAGCTGTTCTTTGTTGGCCCCCGGTGGGGGAACGATCTTGTTAAAAAGGCCAGAACGAAGACGAGGAGTTGGGACCAATAAAGTTTTGTGGGCCTGTTACAAAAAAAATAAATAAAATTCAAATCGAACATTATTTGGACCTCACAATGAACAGGTTAGAGAAAATGTTACAATGCGACTGAGTTAGAGTGACCTATCATCAGGAAATTCATCGAACTTCTAATTTGCAGGTAAATATCTGTTTTTTCTTGTTTGTTTGTTTTTTAATCGGCAAATTTTCTACAGTAAACGTGTTCTTTTTGTTTGAGTTTTTGGCAATACATATTTCAAACAAAGGACCAGTCACTACAAGAGGAGAACATGACCGAATAAGTTACAGTATGCGAAGCAACGGTGTGACTCGAGCATCACCGAACATTTCATTTGTTGTCTGAGGTTTTGTTCTATTCACACTTGTGTGACAAGAATGTTATACAGAGCCTGTAAAGTGACTACAAAAATGCCTTGTGAATTTGAAGAGTTTTGTTCACAAGACTACCAAATTTGAATGACAAAAATAAATAATCAAGTATATAAACTAAGGCTTCATAATTATGAAAAAGAGTGATCGCCTTCTACCTGCAGGAATGTGTGACCATGTCTGCTGAATCTGACCTTCGGCTGTCAATAAAGTATGTGCATGCTCCATTCCATCCGATCGATACTGACACACTCACAGGGCCGTGTACATTCAATAATACTCCACTTAACTGTATAAAAAAAAGGGCTGGGGATCTGCCTCATCAGCCAAAGGAGACTGTGTTTAATATAATTACTTTATTAATGACGGAGTTCCATCCAACAACTCCTGTTGACGGACAGCGGACTCTCTTCAGGACATTTAACGTCTGTCGTTTTGCATTTCAAAAGAATGATCACATTTGTGATTGGGATGGGCCTCCAGCTTGGACCATAAATATTTGAAGTTTTTTTTTTTCTACACCAACTCAGGCTAGTGCTGTCCGAACTATGCCTTATTGCATGAACTGATAAAAACCTGCGCTGATGAAAGGCCGAAACATCTTCTAAGACAACCAGAACAGTTGAGTTGCGATCGACTCAATGACCCAAGAATGAAATGACCTTGGATGTGGACGAATATTCACAGGCATCATTCTGAATGTGACCAAACCTGAGGTCAACAGGAATGAAGGCATAATTAATGTCCCGAACAGCCTGTGGTGGTAATTTCGGGCTCTTGGTGTGTGTGTCCACCTGTAGCACTGCTAGTCGAGCCCCCTCAAGAGGTTTATCGGGATCCACCTTGACCTCAGCTGTCTGGGAAAATGCTTCCAGCTCAGACACTTTAGGGCAGGCAGTCAAAGCCCCCTGGGAGGAAAACAGCAAATTGTAGGGTAGCTTTATGAAAATGTAAAACTTACTTCCAGTGTGACAAAGCGAGCATGCTGCTGAGGTCTGTCTGGATTTATTTTGATTGTCTGGCTGGACTTGAACTCCTGCAGGACTGTGAGCCTGGTGCATGCCTGAACTGCATCCTAGCCAGTAAATAAAAAGACAGGAGAAAATACTGTGGCAAACATTGCTGTGTTGATCTGATGCACTGGTGTCACTACTTAAGGATATACTGTAGCCCAAAAGAATGTCCCATCTCAAATAATAGAAGTTGCTCAAGTATTGATTTCGTGTTGCTTGTAGAAACATAGAAAATCACGACCCATTTCTCCTCTTTACACATGACATCAACTGTTTCAAAGTAATCTAAGAATTTAACGAGATATTTGTAATACAGTGCTGTACAGCATCGATATCTGTAAACTTAAATGACAGCTACCGACAGGCAGCTGTCAAATGGATTGATGAGCGATGACTTGTCTGACAGACGGTCACCATACATGGAAATCCACTCACACGAGCCACTAAAAGAAGAAAATGTTTCGTTTATATGAAGAATTCCACAACTTCTCTGACACCTACCGAACAGTAGAAGTCAGTTTTGTTGCACACATACAGTATATGAAAACGTTGATTCACGGGTGACACGTTGGTTCTTAAAACTATTAAGTGGAATTGGTTTCAACTTGCCTTAAAATTCGGGATTCTGTTGTGAACTGGCCTTGGGAAATTAGCCAGATTCTTGTCTTCGATGTAGTCCCAAATCTTTTGACGAATGTCCCATTTTGTTGCTCCTGCATGGAGAGAAAAAGAAAGTAGCGGCATTTGCTAACATATTACGACAGCGATGGCGTCGACACTCATTTTCACGTTGAACCGACCTGGATTGATTTTTATGAGCGGCTCCATGATGCTATATGCTGTCAATAATTGACCAACACGACTTTACCTTTCGAAGGAAGCCTAAACGTGAGATCTATAAGTAACGTAAAACGACAGCAACAGCTGCGTGACAATGTTTATGCTCGGTACGGCAACTGGGGAGGGTAAAATTTAACAGCAGTTGAAATCGCCGTACAGAGAGTCGCTAAAACAATATAGTATGGACGTAAATGATAATTCAGAGTGCTTAGTGTCATAGTATTTGTGTGTACAGTACTTCAAAGGGATTCTGGGTATACTGAGGTAACACAAAAATACGTTTTTTTTCTCTCGCTTTCTTTTATTAACAAATTGTAACGTACATACAGAAACAACAAATTTAACTAAAAATAAAACCCAAACAGCAAATTTAAAAATTCTAGGGAGGTTGAATAACAACTTGGAATGAAAACATGAAAATGCTAACACAATTCCAGGGTTTTAACAACTTTATTTTAAGACCCAGAAACAGAAAGTAATTAAAACTGATGTTTCACTCTCGCCTCCCTCAACGAAATGACATACCATACCGCAGTACTGTACTGATGGTAACAGACAGGTGGTTTAAAATGGCACCGCCCACGAAACAACGCACCCAAATTACCGTAAGTCAAACAAATGAGCAACGGAATCATGATACATTTTGACGCGCACATCCATCCATCCATCGATTTTCTGAACTGGTTTTCCGCACTACAAATTACACCGGGGAACATATTTCATGTTGAGTTAGGTCTGACAGTTGTTTTTAGCTAATTTTTGAATGCAGAATCCAAAATTGCTTTTGGTTTTTCTCTATCATGTCAAAATAAGTAAATGTGTATGTACAGGATGGTGCTGCACCGGGGCGAGGGAGGGTTATAGCCCAGTCAGAAATCTGTGTAGCACCAGTTAACCCCTCCAGCATATTATTTGATATTGTCTAAATAATATCTATAAATTCTTTTCTCCGCATAAATTTTATGGATCAAGCCGCCTTTCAGCCCCGGAAGACAAAAACAATCATGGAACCCTCCTTGTGTATGTATGCAATAAAACCCGAAGTTGGAATAGTTACAAGCTTTGAAAATTAAACAAACAAACAAACATATAATGGAATAGAATTTACAACGATATGCCCATGGTTACAGCTGCTGCACACACCTCTCACAGAACTGTCTCAATTTTGACTGCACAAACAAATTGTCACATAGCTGTAGATGAATCCAATCGGAATCAACTCTTCTTACTACCAAAAGTCTTATTACAGCTAACCAGTGGAATTTTGCTTGTCTGGAGGATAAGCTGCAGAGGAAAAAACGTGACGCAACGCTTCCATATATTTCAGAGTGTCTATTATTTACTTTTACTTAAGGAGTTTTATTTTAACCAGACAACTTTGCCTCCTCTCCAAATTACACTGCACTTCTTCTGCCCACTGTTGTATGAATAACTATTTCAAAATTATACACAATATCATATTCGTACACATGCTAAGCTAGAGTACAATTTTCTATGGATGTTGTGTGTGTTTTTGTTTTGGTTTTTTGTCACCCAGTGCCTTAAGTCTTTCTCGCCTAAATGGTCAACCTGCAACCTCACCTTCTGACCACAAGAGGGAAACCTCGACCAGTAAATTCCCTCAGAGCGTTTGTTCATCGAAGGTGTGGCTTTGGGGTGCTACATCAAATTACAAAGGGCAGTGTGTTATTTATTTCCATATTCATTATCGAATAAAAAAACGTGTTTATATTTAAATCGTTGAAAGCAAACAACTGATGATTACGTCACACATTAGACGCTACATTATCCATTCTGCTGCAGGTATACTTGACTATTCATCTTTGACTAAAACTTGGAGCTCTGAATTTTTGGACGACATGCCCCTTTATGAACTTCCTTGACAAGCACATTAATATCCATACAGACACCAGTAGAGCCCACCCTGACACCCCCATAGCCTCACTCTCCTTGTCTGGGCAGGGAGCCAAGCTACACCCTCCCTTCCGTTCTCTTTCTCTCTCTCTCTCTTCTCCGACTCTCAGTGGATTCAAAACATGTCAAGCAAAGCCTCACAATGCCGTGCTTACTAAACCTGTGAGTTTAGGAATTTGCAGTGATGTGGCTGTTCCCGGACCCCGACTTCACCCCTCTGCGGTGGACCCACTGTCTGAGGCTCTGATGGAAATTCTTGGCATGTGGACCGAGCGCGCAACTACACCTGTTTGGGAAATTTGTGACAACATAGGGCAAAAAAAAAGAGAAGGGTCTATGCACGGGGAGCTGAGATTTTGCTCAGGTTAAACCATCCACCCTCTCCTCCCTCTCCGTGCTAGCGCCCACACACACACACACACACACACACACACACACA